TTTTTTTTTATATATATAGGTGAATCGACTCGGTGAGACTCCAATTTCTGGTGGTTTTTCTGTAATTTGTGTTTCGTCTTCACTTAGCTTGGCTTGGCATTAATACATTTTGACTAAGGTCGTTGATAAAACGTTTCTGGACAGTTGCATGTATTTGATTAAAAACTTCTTGCATGTCGACTTGATGTTGTTGTTATTTGTGTGTCATTGATACATTGAACGTTGATTGATTTAAACGTTTTGGTGGCGTATATTTAGTATACAACACATTGCACTCTACAGACGCATACACTTTCGTGAATTTCAACAATTTTTAATATTCTATCTATGGGATTAGAGTGTGTGCGTGCGCATTATGGCATTTTGTGTGAACGCATAAATTTCAAAATCACATTTTCGGAATCGCAGCAACGTACAGATAATTTAATTTTTCAATCTAGATACGCACACACAGCTACAAAATACGCCACTTACCTCAATTCAATTTGGTCTTTAGTCTCGCAGACATAGTCAATATAACAAATAACATAACTTAAGAGCTTACTTACATAATAACCAACGAGTACACACAGCATTACACACGCTTACTTAAAAAGTACGTTCCGATTTATATTTCATATACATTGGCTGTGTGCTGTCCCGCTGTTTAACTTTAATATCATATTGAACAGACAAAAACAGCAACAACAAAAAATAGTTTTCAATTGGCATATGGAATGAATTCCATGTAAAGTCAAACAAGTGCGTCAACATCCAAAGTTCTTTACGATTAGTCCATTTTGAATGTTCATTAGGTTCAGTTCGTTAAGTGAAGATTTTACAGTTATTTTGTTCAAACTAAAGATCGTATTCAACTGCATTTCAAATTGTCGGTGAATTTTCTCAACCAAAGCTCAACACCATTTGCTAATTATTCCACATAACGCTTTATTAAAGGTAAATGTTCTTTTTTACGTTACATCAATAACATAAATTCACTCGTGATTTTGATTTATTAATAAATCTATGAAATTTGTGTACATTTTTTCGGCCGTGTAATATGTGACAAAATATGACAGAAAACTGTCTTTTACTTTTATAATTTTACTGAAGACAGTTAGCAATTGCACATATATCCGCTGTCAAAAAAAAGTATGAAAAAGGGCACTATAAATTAATTATAAATTTGCATGAGAACGATCTGAATCAATTACACAAAATCAAGCAACTACAAATGATGGTATATCTATAAACTAGTGGTTTGTTGATTGATAGACCTTTTTTCAAAGTTCATATTCACGCAAAAGAAAAAGATTCAGTCATTTCGTTTGTACAAAACGAGCTCTTTTCAAACAAACTTATAAAAGTAAAGTCAACGTTCTTGTCATTTAACTCTATAAAAAAGTTTCGAAAGTCAATGAAACGTTTACTGATTTATATACAGTTACATTTGAAGAAGAGCAAAAAAGCGCATGCTTTCATACTTTTGAGAGTCAAATTCACATGATAAAACGTATATATTTTAATGAATGAGTTGAAGAAAAAAAGAAATTTACAAAAATGATAAGAGAGAAAGAGAGCGAGAGAGAAATGGTGATATAAAAAACTTTTGATGTATGTAAAAGTCCAATAATCAAAAGGCCCGCTAAAAAAGTTTTGGATTTGTATCTAATTTGTGCATTAAGTGTTCGCAAGCACCGCGCGCATTCATTCATTATGGAAATATTAATTCAATTCAACAACGGGGACAAATTATATTTCGATGTGAAAAATCAGTGTGTGCTTCTTTAATTTTATGTCGAACAAAATTCTGGCTAAAAGTTTTTGTGTATTTGCATTTTGTGCTTTCTAAATTGGCATTGAAATTTGCAATCAGCCGACCAATTCACTACATTTATACAGAAACTCTGCCATCATATAAACGATGACATTGTACAACTTTGAAACTTCATTGACACATGCATATATACTGCATTTAAACTTCTATTTTTCTTTTCCATTTTGGGACCATTTACAAAGTAAATCGTTTAATTGGCACTTGTTTACGATTGCGCAAAAAAATGACGGTGAAAGACTACTTCATATTCAGCTAATAAAAACGTTTGACTAACGAACGAACTTTTTTCGTAAAATGTATTGGTAGATTATTTTTTCTTTGTCCCAATAGAATGATAATTTATAATATCAAACAAACCGCAAGATATGACTTTACGAAGCGACAGAGCGAACGAGCAAAAATGAAAACGGTTAACGACATAAAAAGAAACCCAAAAAAATGTAATTTTCAAATTAATTTTTATGTTCAATTAAAGTTTTTTAATTCAATTTTCTGATAGATTGACATTATCCCGGACAAAGAAAAGACCGGGTGAAATTAACAAAGCAGAAAATCGTTGAACGTCATACATAATATAATTTATGAAAGTGTAGTAGGGAAAAGTTGTTCCGTTTATTCAAGAGACAAAAATCAAAACGACTGTTTTTTTTCCTCCATAAATTGAAAAGGCCTTACTCGAACTCAAATGAACTGTGATTGGAAAGCGGTACGCGACACTTTAGTAAATCAATACAACAAAATGCTAAAAAAAACCTAGTAAATTTACAAGTAGCATGTAGAAAAAATCCATGAGCGTAACGCATTTGTGCTGTTTCGATCAGGCGACTATAAAGGCGAAACAAGTCGACGATGGATAAAAGCAAGGGCGTTATGCACTTGCCATTTAAACGCAAACCATCAGCAAAATATCGATCTGGCAAATATAAATATATCTGAAGATATATATTGTCCGAGGCAATATTAAGTGACATTGGATGATGGCCGTGTTATCGTTTAATGAATGAGTTTTGATATGTATAACATTTCGATTGTGCTATTGTGTGAGTTTGTATATGTTTCGAATCGAACTTTCGATGAATATGCACCGAGACCACAGAAAATAGGTAAATTTCTTGTGTGTTTCACTCGAATGTGTTGCCAAATACATATTAAGAGCAATGCAACACAGAGAGAGAGATAAATTGCCACTAAACGACGACTGTAAATAAGAACGATAAAACTTTCTTGTTAAATTGGAAACTGACAACAGTGGCAACGTCGATAAAACCAATTTCAAATTGCAAATGTGAACTCTCTGTGAATCGAAAACCAATAATAATGCAACACTCTCACTTTTACTGTATCTTTCGATTTGGTTTCGAATAAAAATTGCCGAGTTGCCATGAATTTGCGCAACAGCAGCGGTAAATTATACCACAAGAAATGATCACTGGTTTCTGTTGCAAATGTTGGACGAGAAATAAATTTTAGTTGAATCACGCACAAACGGCGGTTTGCACACAAGCATGCATATACACGCGCACACATACACCGACATTTTCATACAACGATAAGATGAAGTAATGTGCAACATAGTTATTGCATATGCTAAATGTTTGACTTCAGCAATTTAAGCGGTGAGTAAGCGTATTTAATAATTTTCAGAGAGAACCCTCTCTTTTTTATTTTTCTTCGTTTGCTTCGTCTTTATTTCGCTTTTTTTATCTCTCTGCTCAATAGAAGTGCGTCGCACATAGTTTCACTTTGTAATGAGTTATATTGCAAGATTCTGTATGTATAGTGAGTGCACTCGTACATACTCACCAATTCAACACAACCTTGCCTTGCATCACTTTTCACTCTCTCACCTTATCGTCTTTTATTATTATTTTTTTGATGATTATTTCATTGCAGCATTCGCCGCAATTCTTTTCCATCTTTATTACATGCAAATGAAACATACATAAACTTTTCTTGAAATCCATATTCGGATGATTGCACATATTGAACACTGCAAATTTGCTTGTTTGGACAAACCATGTTTAAGACGTGTGTTTGGAATATTCGAGTACAATACAGCAGTAGCAGCAACAACAATTTTGTCATCATCAGCCGCATGCATTTCCGTAATAATACGATTACTCTTACAACTTTTCTTTGTGATTTATATAGTCAATGACTTGTATCGTTTGTTTCACGATAGTCGTATTATTCGTACGGTTTTTCTCAAATTCTATTCAATGATTTTACGCTTATATGCGATTGTTTTTGTACAGTGCTTATCCCCTTTCATTTTTACAAATACGATGTGTATGTGTAAACATCGATGAACAGAAATGTTTGTTGTCTCTATGTAAGAAATTCAGTGAAAGCCAACAAAAAAATATGCAATGTGCCACTGCTATGTACTTTGCATGCATTAGCCATTGTTTCTACTTTTTTTTTCACTTACTCATTCTCTCTCTTTCATTTTCTTTTCTCATCTGTTGGCTAATTGTGGTGTGAGCTGAAAAGATGCTTTAGTAAAAATCAACTAATTCCGAGTTGCTTGCATTGGCATTGTGCCATGTTTCATAAAAGTGCGCATACTAGTCTAACCATCGATTGACTAACTGGCTGGCTCATTTGCTCGTGTGCGTGCGCGTGTCTTCATTCTCATCTTGGTTCGGGCAACAAACGAAAAGACAGACAGATTTTCAAGTGAAGCACATAAATAAACAATGCAAATAGCGCTGTTATATTGAAACGCAACAGAAATTAAGTGAAACAAATTTTCTTGAAAACAAACAGCAGAGCCAATTCAAGTGATTCAGTTGAATTGATTTTAATTTTAAGAGAGTATTTTCTCGATTTATTTTCTCTTTATCTGTGTAAGGGCATGATTTTGAAACAAAAGTAAAACAAAAACCAGTGCAAATGGCACATTTGTGCCAATGATAAGAAATCCAATGAAAAACTTTGAAAGTTGCATGCATTTTTCATGACAAATTGCATTTCATCATTTTCTTCTTCAACAGATGAGATTTTTGTGAGAGAGTGACACAAAGAGAGTAAAATAACAAGTTTTTTTTCACAAGTGTGGACTAAAAAAATTAGCACTAATAAATTGATTGACACCTTAACGATTTTATAATTTAATTTTGTTAAAAAAAAATCAGGGGATAAAACTGGAAATCTAGAGTAAAAAAAAGTTGTCAAAGATGAAGAATGTATTGATAAAAAATCAATTCAATGAATATTGGTACCCGTCTGATAGAACATAAAAAGACTTTATACGATATAACAACGTCGAATGTGTCCGAAAAATTGAATGCTTCTATTTAAACATGAAATTGAACATGAAGTTCGATAATGTAAGTTTAATTTATGCTATATTTAATGAAGTGTCCAGTTCGATTATCTTATCAAACTAGGTATCCGCTGTTGACATCATGTCACTTCGGAAGTGCAATTTTATTCTGTAGTGCTTCTATTTTATAAATTACATTAATACATTATTACGGGTATACTGTTCTGCATCAAAAAGTTCGATACGATTTTGTTTTGTTCAAAAAGTTCTTCAAAAAATGTTATATTGCATGTTTCCGTCCATCAATTGTGGATATTGAAGTGCTTATGTCATGTAGCACAAACAATGTTCATCTAATCCAATGTGCATTATGCATAAGTCATTCATTTCACTTTCGATTTTTCTAAATCTATTCGTCCCATGCCATTTACCATCACATGATGACACATTTGATGCACACATATTAAATTATGTTTTACATTGAATTCCCGAGACGACTTCTTTTCTTTTCAAATGTTTTTTTCTCATTGATGTTCCCTTCTTTACAAGATCATAATTTCCCGTATACACATAAAAAATAAAGAAAATGATCCTTTTCATAAGTCTCTTACATACATTTTGTGTGTGTGTTGTGTTATGTTACATTTTACTTTAAAAGTTAAATGCTTTTAACTGATTTCAAGAGCGCAACAGTGAAAGCCCTAGAGATATGTCAGTTGAATCAACTTGTTCAATGCAATATTTCATATATGCTCAATGGACCGGTATCCCTGTTCTGTACTCTTTTTTTTCTCTCTCTCTATCTCTCTTGCATTTCAAATGGTTATATAATTTTTTGCATATTAAATTTTGTCGGCAATGTGTTTCATTTCCTCAATTTAAAATTTGTGCATGTCTTCTCGTGTTTCTCTTTGTTCGCATAGCAATGTGTGCTGATTTAAAAATCAGCTGATTTCTAGCCACTTATTTCTGTTACAAAAATCTATCTGAAGAGATATTAATCGAATATGATGCTAGCACTTTTCGATGCATATATTGGCCACTCGAATACCTAACAATATGATATACAGACCATTGCAGTGTGCTTCGTATGATATGCGCATCCAAAGATGCGAACACCATTCGAATCATCGCATCAATGTATGCTTTTTCGATTGCATACAAAATTCCGAAGCGTGTGAAATGCACTGTATGGGTGTTGAACATCGTATGTGTTATGCCAATGTATGCAAAGAATGTTTGAAATGCATTTTCATTACAAAGCTCGTGCTAGGGAATGATGGTAATTTTCTTATGTGCTCACTGCTTAAACACAATACTACAATCTAATACACATGTAGTGTGTGAAAATATTTGAATTATTATTATACACGTTCATTTTCAAACGGTTCAATGAGAGAAAGAGAGAGAGAGAGGAACGAGAAGGACTCATTATTTGAGTGCCTTTTGTGTTAAACGACGAAATTTTATAGCCTCGCTATCGAATGAGTTTGAAATAAGCGTTCGATGAAGCCAAACACAACGCAATATTATTATTGGTAAGTTTTTCTGGTGAAGTGAATTCATCCGTATTGAAGGAGAATAAGCGAAGTAACGATTTAAAAGAATTGTTCACAAGGATTGCTGGCACACTTTGTCAAATACTAATGTGAACTAATACACATGGTATATGTACACGGAAAATGGGGCGGGGATGTTTGGTTTAATGCGATGCAATCTCGTTCAAATATTTAAATTGACCTTGGCTCTTAAACTGTTTATTCCATGCGTATGTGTGTTTGTGTATGTGAATGTGCACACCGTTTCTTCTTTTTCTTCATTCGTTTGCGCTAAATGGCAGCACTCACTTATCCCATTTTCTTTCTGTATAATGTAGCGTATAAATGTAGGTGATATCTGATACGTGATAATGTGTACAATAAAAAGAAGGAATGTGCTTTCAAAAGTAGTTATCCCAAGCCAAAACAACATTGCTGAAATAATCTCAAATATTTGTACAAATGAAAGCATATCAATCACATGTAATCCAAATTAATGTGTAAACAATTCGTTCTGCTCCATATAGCCATTAAATTTGATCATTTGCAAAATTAAATGCAAAAAAAAAAAAACAGATGTGATTTTGATTTATAGTTTTGAATGGAAAATTGACATTTTTATCGATGACAGAGTCTTAATTTCTTTTCTTTTTTTTTTTGAATAATTTAGGTATTCATTTATACAATGGATCGTATTGTTTGGATGATTGTTTTGACTGTCGTTGCCAATTTTATATTGGAATATTCGGGTGTTTGGGCACAAACAAAAGATAGCCGCAGCTATGGTTCAGCAGCTGTACCTTATAATTTGCAACAGCGACGCGATTCATCAAATAATGTGAATCCGGACGACGTCGAGTTGATTGATCCAATGCAAACATCACCAACTGAAAACAATGGCCGTGCCTCTCGTAATAAACTATTTGATAACATTTTCAAGGTGACAATTGATTGACAAAAAAAATGATTGAAAATGATAACAAACTTTTGTGTTTTTTTTTTTGTTGCAAAATATTTCAGATACCAATTTCAACATTGAATGCCGTCAATGAACTGCTTCAAGGCATTGGTGGTACATTTAGTTCCAGTGGATAACTAATCCGGACCATTCGCACCAATTTTTTAATTCCGCGCAGAATTGGTCGATACTATTATAACCTTGGATACATTCCATGATCAACAACCATTTTATAACGTTTTAGACGGGGCAATTTCGTTTCGTTTTTTTTTTTTTTGCAAAAGCATAATTAATACATCATTCATGTTTGGTTTATTATGCACTGTCTAAATCTACTCTAAGAGTAAAAAAATATCTCTATTTTATCATGTACCTGAAATCCAAACACAACACACATTAAATACAATATACACTCATTTTAAAACTTCTTATGCTGAAGGATTTGCATACATACATATATGAATATTTCATTTTTATTTTTATTTTTTTTTTGTAAACTAGTTAAAGTCAAATAAAAAAAATTCAATGGAATAACACACAAAGAGCACATATTTTAATAGAATTCTGAAAATGAATGAATTTTGTTCATATGCACCGCAATGAAATGCCATACATTATTATACTTTTTAATTAGATCGTTCGGGCAGGTGACATTGTTCTTTACCAAATGCCATCCATGCAATGAACAGAATTCAAAATAGCAGCATTGTTTCGCAGTATGAAACTGCAGTATGATCAACACATTACACATATACACAATAACACTAAAACAAATGAATTCATGGACATTCAAAGGAGAAACAAAGAACGAGCGCTGTACATGTGACGTAAAAATACGCCGTCTGAATAAAGTAATGTATCTGTCATCACTACACACTGGCTTCCCATTAGCATACATAGCGGCGCTTTATGCAATGTACTAATCTTTAATAATTTAATTCGTTTTATGGTCCCTATCTCTTTATCAGATGGCGTTGTATTACCTATTTTACATGCGATTGTTTTTCCTTGACAAAAAAAACTCCAACAGCAAAAAAATGTGTAATAATGAAAAGTTGAATAGGGAAAACTTTCCCGGGAAAAATATAAATCTAGGGGGATACGGCCGAAAATCGATTCTATCTTAATCGAGTTAGAGTTTCCGGTACAAATATTGATGATGGGTCTTTGATTCCATTCAGATAATCGATTTTCCAAAAAGAGTTATTATCTTAATC